TGTACCTCTGGTGCAAATTACTGACCTCTGTCATCATTTTAAGTGGGGGAACTTGCACAATCGGTGGCTGACTAAATACTTTTTTGCCCCACTGTAGGTCAAGGGCAGGGTACACTTTATACAGGTCGTCTGTCCATCACAGATCTAACACAGAGAGACAAACAAAGACACAAACCTACAGAGACAGTTTAGCGTCTATAATTTACAGCCAGCACCCAAAGAAAGCCAACACAGGCACAGGGAGACATGCACACTCCACAGAAATCCCCCCTGCTGACCAGGAGGCGATTCAGGGTAGACTACTATTAACGAGAGAAGAATGATTAGTTTACTACCATTTTAAAAAGTTAAGTGCTATGACTGAATGAAGTAAAATAGTTTTGGATGTATAAATAAACAAGAGAGTGAAAAAGAAGAAGAACACGGAGTGACTAACAGAGGCAGACAGAATAATTATACTTTCCCATATGAAGCTGTATCTCCATCAGTCACGGCCACACTGAGCCAGTCAACCAGCTGATTTGTTGTGGCGTTGTCAAATGGCTGTGAGAGAACTGGCTGATTCACCATGATGGTAATCTGAACCAAGGATATGGGCCATCTGCTGAGCTTTTGACTGTGATGATTGGTTAATTATGTTGCAGGGTTCTGTGATTATACACCTAGGGGTTTAACATACAGGCATTAATGAATGCCTGCTGGGTGCAACTGTATGTGGGTGGTTTGCTGTGTGTGTTTGTGTGTGTTTGTGTGTGCTGTCATAGAGTAGACTCTCCAGAGCTTACTGTACTGTACTGTCACTTAATTTTTAGTTAGAATTAATTAGAGTGTGTTTCTTCCTGGATGCGTGTAATTTGTCAGGTTGTAGCTAGGCAGCCGACCTTCATCTCTTTCACAAATACACATGCAGAGACTTTAACATACATACAGTCCCATGTGAGTGCCAGTGGTTGAGAACTGGGGATAATAATTAGCTTTAATTAAAAAGTTGGGGAAACCAAGGCCTAGAAGCTACTTTTTATGCCTTCCCTTCATTTCTCGGAGGAAATGAATAGCATGGTGCTTTTTATAGAATCGATTTTTATAGCAGCTTAATTTTAGCTAGAGAATACTTTGTTTAAATCTGGATAGGATGAAAACGAGTTTGCTGAAACTCTGCTCTGTATTATAGCTCTGTACAGTCTGTATGACTGTATATTTATTAAAGACAGATTTGACTAATTTTATCTTTGACCTTTCCAGCATGGCTCCATGGGCTAGCATTGACTGCCTT